CAATATTTCTTTATAATGAGAGTCATACGTTGAAAACTCTTCCGATACTTCGAGGCGCATCCGAGGTAATCGCAATAAAAAAAATATTTAACACAACGTAGGTTCCTTTCTTTCATTTAAATTGTTTGTTCATTTAAATTGTTGATTACCTCTTCAACTTTGTTGACGAATTTGGGTTGTTATACTACAATGTATTATTTTTATTACATACAGGTCAGCGATACAAAACGCGTTATAGGTATTTATTTATTTTACAAAGATCACTAACATAGAATATGCGAACACTATTTTTCTCAGCTATCTCTCCACCACTGTCAGACTTGGAACGCCGCGGCAAACTAGCGACGATACCAGATTAACATCCAGGAAGCCATTAAGCAAATGACGTGATGTATCCAGTGATTACTTCCACTCCCAAAGCGGGGCCGCATACACTCCCGCTTTTTTTAGTATCAGCGTAGCGCCAACGCCGATCCGTTTTAGAAATTGCCGAACACTTTTGCATCATCCCTTTCGGGGCTGATGGCTTTTTTCCAATAGGAAATCCGTGTTTTCCCGATTTTGAGAAACAAGGGAAAGGTTATTAACTAATAGACTTTGCTAAAACGTATCTAAGAGAGGTAAAACAAAACAATTTATGACGTATATAAAAATGTAATAAATATAAATATGTAATATGTAGTTATATAAAAAGAAATTGTTATCAGGTAGTAATTGTTAATTTTGAAGTTTACCTTGATATAATGTCATTTTAACAGAACGTCAACGGTTTTTGTAAACGTATCTGTTTTAAAAAAATTAGGCTTCTCAAATAGTTATATTTAAATAGCTTTTTTCTTCATTCTTTGTATTTTTTTTTGCTTCCGAAGAAGGAAAGAGATAAACTTTCCGAAACGTTAAGCATTTTTTTGTTCCTTAGGTAAATTTGTTTATCAGTAAACCTAACTGCTGACAATTAGTTTCCGTTAGATTAACGCAGCTGTGTTTACAAAAAATACCTATTTTATTTTGTAGATTTTCTTGCAGTGCGAAAATACCCATATAGGATTTTTTTGGAGATATGAATCCGCCATATAGGTATAGATATTTTTTAGAAATATGTAATTTTACAGGACTGTTAAGGTAAATAATTTAAGCATAATATATCAGGGTGACATTCATCAGCAAGTCGAATATAGTTATTGGGCAACGAGTAGAGGGACCTGAGTGGGACGACTTGTTCAGTAGAGCGTAGCATAATTAAAAAAAATAGCAAAAAAATCACTATCGTCTTTGTGGAGTTGAAATATAGTACCCTAAAAATATTCGCACTTATTTAAGACTCACCCTGTATATGTTTGAAATCGTAACAAAATTTATTCAAAATTCATTAAAAAAAAACTTAAAATATAAGAAGTATTCCTGATCTTATAAATTTTTCTCAACTTTTTGGTCGTCTTTTTTATTTTTATTTCACTTTTTTGCAGACCTAGTAAAATCTTACAACCCCTGCATTTAAAGTTTTTTACTACCACCAACTAGATAAATAAAAAAAACATATTCATTAGGAACTTGGCGAAAGTTTTTCAAAGTTTATGTAGAAGACAAAAAATTTCTATTAATTATATTTATTATATTATTAAACGTAATTGCTACTTTGGTATATAATGTCATTATTATTTAATAAGACAATTCCAGTGGTTTAGATAACTATTTCTGAAAAGAAAATTTGTGTATTTAGAAAAAAAAATAGAAAATATCTACTAAAGTACCGTAAAAGTGAATATAAATATTATCCAATTTTTACATGAATTATTAATCAGTCAAGAACATTTTCTTCTTGATAGAATAGATACATTTTTAATAAATACCGAAATAAAAACAATTTAATACATAAGATATTATCATTAAATTAGAGAACAAGTAATCTAGAAATTTTAATATTAAAATTAGATATTGTATTTTTTCTGGTTAAAATCCTTTTCATTTATATTTTTGTGTGCTATCACAAAAAACTAGGTAAATATATTATACAAATTGGCTGGAATGTTTTAGACCAGAACTTTAATGCGAAAACCTTTCAGCTAAATTAGTTTAATTCATATTCGCCTTTGAAGTGCGTTGACGTCAAAAGAATTTATGACAAAAAGTGAGCTTTTATATTAATAAATCTAAAGAAGCTGTTACTTTCCTTTGCTATTCCATGTAAAGCATAAGTTTAGCTAAAGCAAACAATAACAATATTATTTTATTTCTGAAAGGATTTAATGAAATAGTTTTAATAATTTTAACACTCAAAATCATCTATGTCTATTTGGCGTTTCAAACAATAAAAGATTGTTTAACATTATTGATTAAATTTATAGTAGGGGAAGAGTGTTCCAAAATATCTGTTTTTTTTTGTCTAAATACAATACTATTTTCCTTCAGAACTTCTACCAAAGACTTCTACATAATTCTAATCTCTCTACCGGGTGGTGCAACGTCGTTTGAAGCATAGGAAATCGCATTGAAATTTTGAAATGTCCAGATATTTGCTCCCCTGTTAATTTTGCAGCGAAATGGTAAATAATTTTTTTGAGGTCCGCGTATGCCAAATTTAAACAATTTTGGACAAGCCGATTTTAAGTAATTTATGAAAAGCTGCATGTATTTTCGAATTAAAACTGAATAGGTAATAATGCACATCCAGGCAAATAATATACATACTTTAAGTTGCCAATCTATAATTTTGTTAATGTGTGAATAGTATTTTCTACTAAACTTAGGGTACTTTTGCCTCATTCAAACCGGTTTTATATTACATAAATACATTTTAAAGATACTCACTGATCGTACTAAAACGTAATAGTATAAGGAGTTTGTAAACAGCACAACACATTACATTTGACAGCGATAAAATCCTAAGTTTTCATAAGTTTTGCATTCTTACCTTATCGTCCAGTTTTAATTTAAAAATAGATGCAGTTTTTCTTAAATTACTTAAAATCTGCTTGTCCAAAATTGTTGAAATTTGGCATACGTATTCATCATAGGCAGACCTATAAAAACCTTTGCATGCTTTTTCATTGTTTCCTGTTCAGTTTTAAATTAAAAATAGATGCAGTTTTTCTTATATTACTTAAAATCAGCTTGTCCCAAATTGTACAAATTTGGCATACGTATTCAGCATAGACGGGCCTTTAAAAACCTATTTACGGCTTAGCTGTAAAATTAATAGACGATCCAATATTGGATAATTTAAAATTTGCGAAAATTTTTTTGTTTTCAAAGACGATGCACCACCCGTTATATCTATGTATATTTAAGTAGCATATGAAATATTTATAAATATTTGTTAGAATGTGTAGAGGATTAAAAATACATGGAGAATATCTTAACTATCTAAGATTTGCTGATGACATAGTCCTAATTGCCAGTAGTCCTGAAGAACTACAATTACTGCCAGCAATACAGTAGGTCTCAAAATGAATTTAGCAAAAACTAAAGTATTGTAGAACGAACTAGTAGACAGAAAAAACATTCTAATAAATAGAACAAAATTGGAAATAATAGATAAATACATATATTTGGGACAACTAATACACAGCTCGGGATTTCTACTACCAGAAATCAACCGGAGAATTAAGTTAGCATGGAATGCTTATAGAAGAAACTCAGTCGTATTCAAATCTAGAATGCCACTTTATCTAAAGAAGAAAACATTCGACCAATGTGTACTACCAGTCATAATCTATGCATGCGAAACCTATACGCATTAGAATACAATGTCCAGTCCCATTCTTTATAAAAAGTTAGTTTACGAAGCTAGTAGTACGAAGAACCGGACATGTTACAAGCTATCATACTGACATAAAATCAGTTCTGTCTTTCTTCTGACCGACTCCTGAATCTGTACAAGGTTTCATCAGTCAATACCCTCAGCTTTAAATGTTTGCATTGAGCTTGCAATGCATTGCTAGTAGACTCAATACAGTTTTGACAGCTTTTCTGTCTTTACTTATCTTAAAAATGCCATAATATCATGATATACAAGGTGGACATAGCCAACTACTAGAGACACATGGTCGGACTGGCCGTCTAGCCAGGGTGGCGATTGCAAGCCGGGCCCCAGCCTTCGCGAGCCTTCTATCTTAGGATCTACATGTAAAATAGTTCATTATAAACGAAAGAAAATGAATAAGTGACTTATTATTCTGAGGTTATCCGGAAAACTTTTTTGGATTAACAATATTTTTATTTGCATTGCATTACTGGTAGTTCTCCGATTCCAAGCACTACAAACAAATCGATAGGAGAAAATTGTCCAAAACATAAGGCGAAAAAATATGCAAAAAACTACACGGGCCCCTCCTGCCCAGTCCGACCCTGTAGAGACATACCATTTACTTTACTCTCTCTTGCCACTTCTGTTTTCGAAAAATGCTATACCTTAACCAAAGTATTTTTATCCATCCAATATCAAAATACCACTTCTAAATTAACATTTTCAATATGGCGACCCTTTAAAATATACCTAAAGTTGAAAATAAAAACTTTAAATGAAAATTCTTTTTTTAGATTTAATTTTTTTATAAACATTTTCCAATTTTGGTATAAAACAACCTTCAATACATTTCTATACTTTGTAGAACCATATAAAACTTTTTGTTAAAAAATTGGGCCCAACCGGGATTTGAACCCGGGACCTCTCGCACCCAAAGCGAGAATCATACCCCTAGACCATTGAGCCGCCTTATTTAATTAATTATTAATAATTATCGTATATTGTTTCACTATCAATCCACTTCAATAAAATAATGGCGACACCAGATTGTTGACCCTGTAAACAATGTTACAGGTTCGAGTAGTTTTATGTTAATACATCAGAATAACAAAAAATAGATTGCCCACTTGTTTTTTTACCTATGCGTTTCGACTTAATTTTAGGGTATGGATTTCGAAGAAGTAGAGTAAATAAATAGCTTTAACAATAGAAACATAAAAATATAGTTTAAGCTACTTTTTATATAAAAGACATGTAAAATACACTATATAAATTTATTGTTGAATGTATTCGGTCCAAGTTACTATGACATCAATTCCCAATGACTCTAATTCTTGTCTACCATTTTTTGTTATAATATCACCTTCCTTCTTTACCACTACTAACATTGGCAAACTGCTAACGCCATAAAAATACCTCAGCTCATCTGCCAAGGGGTCCTTAAATGGTATAGCAAGCCATGGTCCTTGTCGTATAGTATAATCGTATTTAAATTTAGCCTCGTCTATGTCAGACGACACGTATATTACTTCTATCCCGGTAGCTAAAATAATATTAATTTATTTAATAATGAATAAATTAAAACATTTAGAAATAGTTAACCAATTCTCTCAATCAGTAATCAGTTACGTGAAATATTAAAATAATATAAAACCGTATCCTTATTTCTTTAGATAAAAAAAGATCAACAAATATCTTCTTTTTCTAACTGTGTCCATCTTCTAATGATGTTGGCGACCACGTTTGACACCATCTTATCTAGTTAACTGCAGCTCAATTTCTGCAGAAATAATTCAATTGATGTTAGGCCTATTCATTTTCTGAGATTGTCAAGCCAAGATATACGCCTAAAACCAGGAGCACGCTTGCCCTCAATTTTGCCTTGTAGGATTAATTGTAGCAGTCGGTATTTATCATTCCGCATAAGTTGACCAAAATATGCTAGTTTTCGGGTTTTTATGGTAGTAATAATTTGTTTTTCTTTTCCTCTTGAGTCTTTTGAATCGCTATGTTAGTAGTATGGTGTATATATGAGAACCGTAGTATGCGGCGGTAGTATCTGTTATTCTTTCTCCATATTCCTTCCATTTGTTTTTATATTTTTTACTTTTTCTTCTGCGGTTGTTTTTTAGTTCATTTCTTATTGTGTCATTTCTTATTCTATCTTCTCTAATTATTCCTTTTATTTTTAGTAGTAAAAATGTCATCTCCAAACTCTACTTTCTCAAGAAACGTTTCTCTCTTCCAATACTTTTTATTGCTCTCATCCTTTGCACAATAAGGTCTTACAAACTAACATCATTGGACACTGGAATTACAAAGATTTTTTTTATAAAAATATTCAAAATAGAATTACTGTCTGATCGAGCTCGAAATAACAATGTAGCAATTTCTTTTTTCAGTAAGTTTATTTAGAAACATTTTTATAATTTTTTTTTGTGATTTGGTGATTCCAATGTCCAATGATATTAATGTGTAAGGCCTTATTGTGTAAGGGGTGTTGTTTATTTAATTAATTCATCAAACTGATGGCATACGTATTCAGCATAGGCAGACCTATAAAAACATTTGCATGCTTTTTCATTGTTTCCTGTTCAGTTTTAAATTAAAAGTAGATGCAGTTTTCTTATATTACTTAAAATCAGCTTGTCCAAAATTGTACAAATTTGGCATACGTCTTTAGCATAGACAGGCCTTTAAAAACCTTCTTATTCTATCTTCTCTAATTATTCCTTTTATTTTTAGTAGTAAAAATGTCATCTCCGTTGTTCTGAGTCCTTGTTCTTTAACTTTTGTAGTAGTCCAGACTTCACTTCCATATAATACTATCGGTAATGTATTATATAGTCTTACTTGCGTTTCTAGCCGTGCTTTGTTTTTAAAAGTTTTTTCGATAGTTCTACATATTGACTGGAATTTATTTTTTTTTTCATGTAGTCATTATCTTCATCATAGGTCACGTCGTATCCCAAGAAGCTAAAGTGCGATATTTGCTGTAGTGGTTTATTTCTTAAAATTATTTTTGTGCGGATATCGTTTTTGCCGCAGTATGCGACCACTTTTGTTTTTTTGGGTAGACATTGTGCTATCATATTTTATTATTATCTTGTCTAGGAGATGAACCTGCCTTTGTACGGTATCCTCGTCTGGTACGATTATCACTTGGTCGTCTCTAAACAGTAGTATAAATATTCAGAAAACATTGTCGGTCTATTTGGATACCTCTTGGTGCCATTTCTTTCCATTCTCTTATAACTTGGTCCACATATATATTAAAAAGTATAGGAGAAAGCGGACATCTTTGTCTTGTACTTCTATTAACTTCTATTGTATTATCCCCTTTTACTATCTTAATATAAAGAAATCCGAATATTAGATCTAATTGCTAATATCTTTACCCCCACTTTATCTTTTGTCCCCCCACGACACTCTAGTGACATTCGATGTATTTCGCTGCCTCGAATCCTCGAATGCACATGTAATACGTGCACTTTCCAGATGATATTATCTCTTCTGATCCATCGGTACATTCTCCAGTCGTATCCTTTTTATAAAGTCTAGTACTTGGAGACTGAACCTTTCATATAGCTCTCTGTCGATGGCCTACCATTGCCTATTACCAAGAACCGCACATTTGCCAGGCTGCCAGACTGACATAAAATGTGTTTTAACTGTGTTTCTTATTTAAGATTGACAGTATTGAACCTGCATATCTTGTTCTATCTATCAATCCCATTAGCTTTATATGCCTAGTTATGCCCTTTTAGTAGATCGACTACAGCTTTGACTGTCTTTCTGTCTTGGCCTATCAGGTCTGCCGTGATTGTTGGCGAATGTTCTACTATGAAATTTTTTACCTGTTTCTGTCCTGATGAGTCTTTTTTCCATTTTAGCTTTTGCAACACCGCAGAAGGGTTCTGGGCCTATGAATGGCATTGTAATCCTCGTGCCCTTTAAGTAGATAGGGTTTCTATTTAATTTTCTAGTAAAATAAGATCATATAATTTGTAGCGTTATATGGACGACATTTTTTCTTAGGCGTGACAGCCTGACAATTTTTTTCTTATGTTGTGAATCATCAAAGTATTGAAGTACGCCCTAACACTGTTTGTATCTAAATGTTATACGACAATATTGCTTATATAAAATAAGTGTTTACATACCTCTTTTTAAGTTCTCTTGGTATACAGTTCTCAGTTTCTGCATTAGGTCAGGTCTATTTACAGCTGATGAACTGAAGAAATAGACTACAATCTTTTTGTTTCTCAGCACATTCTTAACAGGATGGAAGCTTCCATCTTTGGATATAACTTTTTTTCCTTGTAACATATCCATACTTTATATAAGCTACATGACATCAATCATATTTGTCACTACGAAAAATCATAACCAACAAACTGATTATCTAGACATAACGTGGACATATAACAAAAATGGTTATTTTATTCTGTAGTTCATGAAAATTTTCCTAATATTTCTGTATGTAAGTTCTCATAAATAGTAAGGTAAGAAATTATATAATTAAAGTTTTTAGAATAAATTGCAGTTTGGATTGTTTTGGTTTCAGCTTTTTGTGATCTTTCTTGTTTTTTAATAATTTTAATACGAATTTGAGTATTTTCAATAACTAGATTTTAAAATTGAGTCTTTTACATCAAATTTTCAGTTAGCTGCTGTATTGATCGGTTCTGATCGTAATTTCCGGATAATAATTTACGTGCAGCTGTTGGAAGATGGTCAGAAAGCAAAGCAAATTTGAATTCACTAACATTCACTAGTAATAGTTTACTTCAAAATTAGTTGTTATACTTTTACTGGCTTAGTGGTAGAAAATCCGTGAATATGAGCTTTTACTAGTAATTTTTAACATTTATAAACTTAAAGCTATACACCTTAAACTGAACCTCAAGATCTGTAGTGCATTTTTTAGAACCGTCTCCGCTGAAGCATTAAATGTCATATCCGGGGTGCCTCGTATTCACCTACTTGTAGAGGAAAGAAGAGAGAGAAGGTGAATGAATGGCAAAAGGAGTGGGATCTAGATAGATATGGTAGACGGACACCTCTCATACCCGTTAACATTAATATGTGGTTAGACAGGAGTTTTGGGGAGAATATTTTCTGACTCAGGCATTGACATTGCATGGTTACTTTAACATCTATTTGCATAAATTTGTGTATGTATTGCAAGGAAGTTGATAGAGTCGAACACATACTATTCCTCAGAAATGAATGGAAGCAGTTCAGAGAGTCATTCCAGTAGAACAGTGGCGGACAAGTAGTCAATGCTAAAAATATGATGCAAGAGCTGTTAAGCAGTAAAACATAATAGAAAATTATATATAGATGCATTCGATAAATAATACAAACCAAAGAAAATAGAATGCGACGCCATACCGCATAGACAGCCTTCCAGCTGAAGTAATGCGCAAACAGTTTTCAGCTGGAAGGCTGATAGATAGAGCGTTGGAATGCGAGGAGAGTTATTTTAGTTGGTAGGAATCCAATACTACCCTACGGTGTCTTATGGATTTTCCCCTCCTCAAAATAAAACGTACACACACACAGCTGATGATCTCTTCTACCAGAAATCAACAGAAGTATTAAGTTAGTATGGAGTACGTATGAAAGAAACTCGATCATATTCAAATCCAGAACGCAACTTTATCTAAAAAAAACATTCTATCAATGTGTACTACCTGTCATGACCTATGCACGCGAAACCCAGACACTTGAAACCGATATCATAAGGCATGTCACACTGCCTGTCTCACAACACTCGATGGACCGAAATATGCTTTAATAACCAAAGAAAGACTGTAAACAAGGGAGTGGATACGTCAAAACATCCAGGTAATAGATGCCACTCCATGCTAGGATACCTAGCTAGATCTGTAGAACAGATGGACCATAAAAATTACAATACTCACAAGGAATTAAAGGACCTAGAAGAAGGCCAAACCTAATATGGGAATATAACATTAGGAAATTAGCAGGGATACTATTGTTGGCTATGCTTAATCTTAATCTAAATATATAAGGGATGAAAAATGTCTAAATCCCTGCGGATTCGTTTCTTCAATAAAGTTCTCTGGGTATCTTGCCCCTTGCACTGTAAGAAAATCTACAAAATAAAATTGACTATTTTTAGTCAAGTTTATTTTATTAGTAAAATACCGCTGACAAGTTGGTCTTTGTTGGATTAACGCAACGGTGTTAACAAAAAATCTATTTTATTTTGTAAATATTGTTACAATACAAGTGGCAAAACACCCATAGGACTATTTGGAAGAGATGTGAGGGATGTTATCACCATAATTGGAAATGGTTGAATAAGCTGCGAATTATGATATAACAATTGGCATATATTTAACTCAATTAATTGATCATATCCCATCACTGGTGTCGAAAAAAAAAACAAAAAGGATATACTGAAAAGAGTAAACGAAAAAAAATTCCAAAAATATCGTGAAAATAAATCAGAAAAAGTCTCTGCCCGACGAACACCCACGTCCCCTTTTGTTGTACGACCCCAATGATAAATTAGTTTCAAGCATTCGCAATCTGACATGGTGGAATTAGTCCTTTGTGATAAAACGCTAGTTTTTGCCGGCCATTGTTTATTTCCACCCTTGATTGCGCGCCGCCAAAAAACTTTTCCCTCATTTTGGGAAGTTTTTACCGGCTTTTTCATTTAGACGAGCTGACTTTTCCAGATTTTAAATGTGTGCTATGTTCTGGCGGACATTTAATATATTATCGCTGCGAAAATATATGGAGGTCTCGAAAAAAGTAAAAAAAAAATATATATTTCCAAAATACTTTTCCATTGAAATTAATTTTTAGAAAGAATATGCCGTAAAATACAGTATGATCGAAAGAAAAAGCCGACTTAGAAATGATGATTGATGTCATTCCCCATGGAATTTTGCATTTAAAATGTATAACGATTTTAGTTTTCAAGCCATACCTGACCCCGTGTTTTTTTTCGACCGTACGGTATTTTCTTATTTAAATTATATTTTTGTAGTAGAGGAATCGTCGCCTCTACTGCACCAGTTTCTAAACAGTACCTCTTTATTATCTGGTTGATAGAATGTTTAGGAGGGGGGTTAATCACCGCGACCTTACAGATCTATTTTGTGTTCCCCTTTCTTGAGTTATAACGAGTTTTAACTAATCATACAGTCTCTTGGTCTATAGGGCTTTGATAAAAGCCAGTATGTGAGACGGTTCCACAGAGGCCAGCTATTTCCGACATTAGCCGTACCAAAGTTTATGATTGTCATCCCAGCGCACAAATGACATGTTTGTCTTTCCCCATTTTCCGCACAGAATCTGCATTCTCCGTTGTTTCCCAGCTTCAATCTGAGGGGTTCGTTTATGAGACAGTGTCCTGTTAGAAACTCTGTGACAATCCGGAGTTTGTTCTTACTTAAATCAAGGAAAGTCTTTGATTTTCCTCGGTCGTAATTTCTGAGAAAGTTTTTCGAGTGTCTTAGACCATTGGAGGATTCCCATTCCAGGTTACGGATGGAGTCTTCCAGGTTCTTGAGTTTCCTCTTAATTTAAGTTGGTTTCCTCTTGAAAAGCAGAATGGTTCTGGTCCAGTTAATGGAGTGTTTGCTCCTTTTCTATCTAGATCCTTTGCTTTTTCATTACCTTCTATTCCTTGGCGAGCGAGCACCTATAGTAGAGGTCATTATTTTTATCATTTGACTTCTCTAGGCATTCTTAGCCCAACTTCGAATTGATGGTTACTGAGTTCATCGCTTTTAGTGCTGCTTGACTATTTGATAAGATTAGTATACCATGTTATGGATATTTCCTGTTTTCGATAGTTTCTATCTAAGATAAATTGTACACATCTTTCGATAGCGCAGATTTCTGACTGAAGCAAGCTGGGGTAGGGCCTATCCCTGTCCCTGTTTTGGTTTCGGAAGTATCAGTATACCATGTTAGGTTGAAGTATCAGTATACCATGTATTACATGTTGAAGAAACGTTTCTCTCTTCCAATACTTTTTATTGCTCTCATCCTTTGCACAATAAGGTCTTACAAACTAACATCATTGGACACTGGAATTACGACATTGGACACTAGAATTACGAAAGATTTTTTTATAAAAATATTCAAAATAGAATTACTGTCTGATCGAGCTCGAAACAACAATGTAGCAATTTCTTTTTTCAGTAAGTTTATTTAGAAACAATTTTATAAATATTTTTTTTGTGATTTGGTGATTCCAATGTCCAATGATGTTAATGTGTAAGGCCTTATTGTGTAAAGGGTGTTGTTTATTTAATTAATTCATCAAACTGTCTTGATGATGGGAATAAATTTCTCGACAGCTTGACAAATTGAAAAGTAGTTTTATTTATTATTATTTCAGTCAGGACTAAACCTGCTGTTTCTTAAATCATAAATATATAGGATGTTCAATAGATCAACCTAAATATTCCGAATATAAACAACTATCCAGTCCGCAGACTTTGGTAAATTTCTATTTCTTCTGCAAAGCCGTAAATAGTAATAGTGGCTTTCTTAGTTTAAATACGTGTCAAGTTCAGGTCTAATAAACCGTTGTTGACAATATATTATTTTAAACAGTGAAGCAAAAGTATATAACTGTCTGTAACTGTCTGTAGTTAAAACACATCTAGTTTCACATCTTTGCATGTGTTTTTTATGATCATTAAGTCTTACACTTAGAGGATGTCTCTATCCTGTGTACGAATAACAATATTCATAAGGTATCTGGTAAATGTTCTCTTTTTTCTTGTTGCGATGTTTCTGCTCTTATTTTTGTCAAGACACATTTTAGAATAGTTTCACAGTTTAAAAATACCTTATTGTTTATAAGGTAGGAATATATAGGTGTATATTATAAATAATAAAATATTAGGCTATTTTAGTTTTTTTGGCTATTACAATGATATAAATAAAATCTGTCCAAACCACCTGAAAATATTCTGAAAGACGTCATCAAAAAAAATACAGAAAATTTAATTTACCTGTGAATTAAAATGTTGGTTCAGAATATAATAACCAAAATAAATAATCCAACTAGCTATATGAAAATATATTTTTAGAAATTTTGCTTTGAATTCAGCTAAATAAACAGAACTTTTCATACAAGTAACGTCAGATTTTTGTTAAATGTTTTCTCTGAACGTGAAAACTTCTCTCCACTAATTCCAGAACTCCGTTTTTTCCGATTACTTTTTGTTTTTGTCGTGTATTAAAGTTGACAATTCATCTGGGAGAATAATCGCTGACGACTTTTTTTGCAGAATTTTAAAATTTACTTCAGACCTGTTTTAATTTTTGTTTCCACACGAGTCTTACGAAATTATATTTATTTGAAATATTTTTA